AGACAGAGAGAGAATGAGAGAGAGAGAGAGAGAGAGAGAGAGAGAGAGAGAGAGAGAGAGAGAGAGAGAGAGAGAGAGAGAGAGAGAGAGAGAAATCAATAAACAGGCTGTCAGTGGCCATTGTTGCCATAAACCATTTTCCTCCATGACGCTGTTTCACTGTTTGAAGCTTTCACGTTAAGATGAGCTTGTTTGCAGAAATGTTATTAAGTTTTGGCCTAGCCAGCCAGGACGCAGCAGAAGTCTTGCTTTTATGCTCTATATGTGCTATTCACGCAGTTGTTGACGACACCACAGACAATTAAACACTTATTCTTCGTTTTTGCTTAACTTTAAGGTGACAAGAGGGTTGGGGGGGGGGGTGACTCGACAGATCTGATACCCCTACTCTAACTCCACGTTCCCACAAAAACCTCACATAGTTCAAATACCATCCCTCTGAATGTCAGGCAAGCTGATAAGCATCCATATCGATGTATATAAAATAAGTAATTTGCAGCCTTCAATTTCCTATAAACATAATGTCTGTCTGTGGCACGTGCCAGAACCTTTTCTTTGCCAAACCCTGTTTCCCTCTGCAATTATAGTGCCTGCATGACAATGACGACCTTTTAGACAGAGCTTACCAACGGAAATTACATGGTCAGGGGTTGATGGTCCTTTTTCAAATGCACGTCCCTATCAACACAATTTAGGATATTTAAGAGACAGGCCTCGACCCTGACTATCAGGGCCAACTCGGGCTAAGAGGGATACAATTTCCCAACAGAAAGACCTACATGTAGATACTCTCTCCTCAAGGGAATCAAACTCAGGTCTTCTGCATGCAATGGCGAAGCGTCTAACCAGTACACATCTGACGCCTTGATGGTCATTAGAGATAAAGTACACCCTGAGCGTCAACATACATACAAGCACAAAGATGCAAACCAAGCCCTCTGAAATGACTGAAGGCTAAGATTCCCATACATGCATGTTCCCAAGCACACATTTAGCATAGGCCAGATCGTGGCCCTTATCGATAGTTTGAGCAATATTGGCCCCGAACGTTGATCGTTGCAGATTTGTCTCGCCGTTATGATATCTAATACCAAGATTCTATGTCATGCCCTCATTGGTTCTCTGGTAACGCTAATTCGCAGCCATACCACACTTGAAACTCTTTCAAAGGCTTTGTTCCAGGTAGTAGACATCTGTTCTTTCTGCTCCCCAGTGACGTTGTGCGTCAGTGAGTTTACACATGGTAATTCGTGCAAAAATTTTAAAAAATAGTATTTGTCATGTTGATAGTTGATGTGAAAAAAAAAGGTTAAATTGTTATGTTCAATGTCGGTGTGTCGTGATAATAATCAAATTGTGTATTCAACATGTTTACAAAATATGTTCTGTGAAAAAGTTTATATTTATTTGGTATATATTTTGCCTCCGTTGATTAGTTGTACCTTGTCTTTGTTCAGAAAATTGGTAACACCTCTGTGTTTGGAATGTTACAGTGTTGCTTACAAAATTGTTTTCTATTCTAAAATGTTACTTTAATATCTCTGATGTATGACACTCTGTGTGTAGCACAGGACATGACGTAGGTTTCTGAGAACCGTTATGTTATGCACCTGTTGATGTAAGGTACTGACCCCCGGCACCCATTCGCTCTGTTGACAGAGAGAAGACAGCAGTATGTACATATCATGCAAATCATGAAAAGCAATAAACACAACTGGATTTGCTTTTGCTTTTGACAATATTCGTTATTATAATAAATGTTCAATTTTCTTTGCAAAACAAAAATTGCATTTACTCTATCTATCTATCTATCTATCTATCTATCTATCTATCTATCTATCTATCTATCTATCTATCTATCTATCTATCTATCTATCTATCTATCTATC